TGCAGCAACACCGCTGCACTTAACTCAAATCGCCAGTTCACCATCGCGACACTAGAGGTCAGTCAGTGCATAGTCATTCATTTATATAAGCATAAAAACAGATGTTTGCTTTCCCAAATATAATACCTTAACATTCATATGTACTTAAATACTCAAGTACTCAATCACTTCCTCAAGCAGCTCTTGAGATTAAAAAAATCTAAATATTTTAGGGGAACACAAAAAGGGATGAGAACTCTATACTAACTTCTACATATTCAAACAATGTACATCTAAAGGAGTCCTCCCCCATAGTGGACCACACAGTGGTCTTCTAACCCTTCATACTAGACACCAGCTGCTGCAGTCATTGGATACACAACTGATTGGGGTTTTAAGCAAAAAAGGTTTTTTTTTTTGCTATCATGCATTTCTGATGGGCTTACTGCAGGGAAAACACATTTTAACTCCACTGAAGCAGTCATTCATCTTTGCAGATTCCCATGAACTGGAATATTGCTTCACACTGCCACCGTCCAACAATGCAGATCACATTAGGTAGGAGAGAAATTCAGCCTCCTGTCTCTCAGACTGAGCCTGTGGGCTTCACTAGGTGGGACTACAGTATAGGTGAGAAACTAAATCTACAGGTGCCTGAAGGAGCCAAACACTTTACCTGAAGAGCTGCAGAGCAGGACACGACTTTAAGGCTTTCATGTTTTCTGTGACTGGCACAGTTTCTCCTACACACCTGGAAGGCTGAGCGGTATTCAAATGGTTACAATGTGTAACTTCACTACTAGATGCCATTAAATCCTACACATTGGTCCTCTAAGTGAAAGTATCTAACTATAATCAGGAAAATGTGCTGTAAGTATTATTTAATATTAGTTAGTACTTAAATGTATTACATTACTTTCCACCACTGCCTAAATGAATAAAGATTATTGTGTCTCTGTGTGTGTGTGTGTGTGTGTGTGTGTGTGTGTGTGTGTGTTCACAAACTCACTCTATTCTGGTCAGCTTCTGACAGAAAGGGATAACTTTGACCAACTCCACTGCCACTTTATCCTCACAGTTATTCCACCCCAGACTGGAGACAGAGACAGACACATATGTATAACATTTAGATCAGCGCTGACAAACCGTGCATCAGAAATCAGAATCAATCATGTTAATGTCCCATATTGGATAATTTACTTTGCTGCCCCTGGCGAATAATGTTTGTTTTAATCATTTGTACTGACAATGTATTATATAATCAGCTGAACCTTACCCCACATCCTGTATGAGCGGACAGTGGGTGAGACTAGCAGCTACAGCACACAGCTCTGGAGTCCCAACAGAGGTCAGACTGACGGACCAAACAGGAAACAGAAAGACATTATTTATCATGAAACTAATAATCAGTAAATTTAGTCATCTATCAGGGTTTGGAGATTCCTAAAACAGTAAGAGGAGCTTCAGAGTCTTACTGAATCTTGGTGAGGTTCTTCATGCACATTATTGCTCTGGACAGACTCACTGACCCTTCATATCCAATACTATTATCTGAAATACTAGAAAAAGACACACGTGCATAAAAAACAGAAACCTAACCGCAAGATTGACAAATGTAAAAAATGTCAGTCAGAGATTTTTAATGTGTGTGTGACTAACTCCAACACAGAGATGTGTGTCAGTGATGGTAGAACAAGAGCCATTCTTGCAGCAGTGAGATCACCCAGACTGTTAGTGACCATACTGGAGGACCACACAAACACATGTTTTAATTCTGTACTGATGCAGGAGAAAATACTTTCTTCTCTTTAACCACAGTACACACGAGAGAAATAATACAATAATAAATAAGACAAAATTTTAAGATTATATGGAACACTAGCAGTGTGCAGTTGAATCTGGTGCTATATTGCTTTTGGCCACAAGATGGCACTTGTGTGTGGGAAAACCTAACGACATACAATAAGAAATAAATGTGTGTTTCACTCATCTGTGCTGATCTGCTGTTAACAATGGATATCATTTTTAATTAAGAATTTGTTCCAGACAGTTTCCTCTGATTCACAAGAGTTTTTTTAAGGGAGCATGGGGCTGATCTGCCGCCAATCTAATTGCTCACATGCAAGTTTTGCTCTGGGGGACAGCGGGCCAATCTCAATGAAGATAACAAGAATGCATCAAAAAACACCAGATGTAAATCTGAACGAAAGATCACCGGATACAGATTGCAGTTTAATACCAGGTGTAAATGAGGTGTCAGATTTTGAGAGAACGTTTGAAGGTGATCAGGGGAAACACTGAGCTGATAAAAATGTCACCACCATCTCCTCTAACTTATAATTGTATGTTTTGCACTTCTATCTTTTGTTTCTGATGTTATGGTAGTGCATGGCAACTCCCACCTTGGATTCATCATTCCATAGATTTGATATCCTCTTCTACCAATTATCCAATTGACAATTGCACCTATACTCGAGGCTGATTATTTATGCATTACAAATCAATCAGTGAGCTCCAGTCCCCTCTTTTCTTCCTTTGTACATAATATAGCTTCTTTAGCCATGCATACAAGCAGAGCAAATGTGAATGAATATGTGACAGAATTTTACATGTCACCTCTCTTACAAGGTGTTCCATTGATTTTCCAAAACAGCCTCTAAAGGAATGAACTACATATAAGGAATGTCATCATATCCTTACTGGAGCTCTTCTAGGTGACTACAGCTGTTCAAAGCCTCCAGTAGCTTGTCTCCTGATTCATCGCTTATAAGGTTCTTGGAGAGACTGGAAGACACACACACAAACACAGACATTAAATGTAAAATAAGATGTTTCTGTTTTGTCTCAGGCAGCATCCACTGCTGTCTGCCACAGTGTGTTTCCTGATACTACCACTGGGTGGAGCTAAAGTCAGTAATGTTCAGAAATTCTCTCCATAGTGACTTGATTAGGAGCCAGGAAGCAATTTGCAGGCACAGGACACTGTACAAGATATGTAATACAGCATGTAATTAATAAATAATTACAACCACAGCTTTAGCTAATGAAGCCCATCAGGCTTTGTGGCTGTCAGTCCCTCACTTGGAAAGTAAGAACCAGCTGCCAAATGGAAACAGCTGATCACATAAAGAAGGTGATGACACTCCAATAAAATGGTCAGCATGTTTTGAGTGAATGTCACTTTGCACCCTATCAAAGCGTTCATCTACCCTTTTTGTTGCCAACAGGGCCTTCCTTCCTACCTGACCTTCCTGAGCTCCGTCCAGACAGGAAGGACTCTGGTCAGCTGCTCTATTCCTCTATCAGCCATCCTCCAGCCCTCCAGCCTGAAACGACACAAGGAGCAACAGATGATCCAGCATCACCGATGGCAATGTTTCTTTTATGACGGACTAAAATAAGGTTTATAACATTTGTTTTATGTGCAGCCATGTGTACTTTATACAGTGGAGAAGAACTCACTCTCTCTTCCATTCGTGTGAGTCCCTCCATGGTAGTGAGGAGATCTAACAAACCATTTGCTCCTGATTGCCCCGGTGCTGTGGAAATCTTGTTTATCCTGGCACGCACACACACGCACACACACACACACACACACACACACACACACACACACACATTGGACAAACAAAAGGTCAAATGTACTGTTCAACCAAGAAATCAGACCCCCTGTGAAACTGTCATACTGGTTCCAATCAGTGGCGGACTGGCCTTCGGGAGCACTGGGACATTTTCCGGTGGCCTGGCCCGCTCGGGACCAAAGGCTCGGGACCAAAGGCTCGGTTCCGGTCGTGCTTGATTTTTAAATAAACAATCCATCGTGCGGCTCATTAGGGTATCTGCCCCCCTGAAGCTCACACAGACTGAGCAGCAATGTTGGGCACAAACACACCCCTCCTCTCTTTTTCAGAGGCTCTGTCACAGCACTGCAGGCAGACACACACACACACACCAAGTTGCGCCCCCTTCCCCCTTCTCCTGCACCTGTAGTTCTACATGCTTGAAAAATGGAGCGAAATCGACAACCCAAGAGGAAAGGTGGAGCAGAGAGGGAGAGGCTTAAAAAGCGGGATGGGACGTGGAGCTTATGACATGTTGGAATGACGAGCAGCAGCAATAGTGGCTGTAACTCGAGCAGCGAAGCAGCCTTTTGGCAGTGACAGTGTCAGCAAATGCATGCTATCATAAATAGACCAGATTATTAGAGTGGTGCTGGATATGTGTGTGAGTAAAGAGTGTCATTATGACTGATGCAGTAAATGTAAAGACGTCCACCAGAAATAGCTTTGAAAACTTAGCTCCACGTTGTGCAGCAAATAAATCCTTAGGGGCCACATAATGAATAGCTATTAACAGGCCATATTATACTTATCACTTGGAAAGGTCAGATTCTGAATACATTTTGATACAAAGGATCTTCCCAAGAGTGAAACCTTATGTCAAAAACTCTCATATGGGATTGGGTACATCCAGTTCTAATGGGACTGCTACAGTAAACCAGATTCTGTTTCTTACTTGAGACTGCGAATAGAGATGATATTCCTTAGTGCTTGTGCTAGACACATCATGCTCTTCTCATTCAGCTGCAAAGAGTCTGTCATCAGCTACTTAGACAAATAACATTTGGCTTTACTACTTCCTCCATAGTTGTTGAAACTCATAAGCCTTTGAAATAAAATATCCCCTCTTGACAAATATTAAGACAAATATAATAATAATTAGTCTGATATAGTACAGACTGGCTTCCATACTAGTTGTGATGTAGTCTTGTGATATTGGAGCGCCTACCAATTGTCAGGGGATTTCTAAATGCAAAGTAGAATGGCAGCGAGAGTGGCCACTGGCTTGTGAGTCTAGCTTATACTGTACATGTTAAAACTCTCTCAGGAGAGAGAGGGACCTGCTCTAACTGTGAATGCTAACAATAGAACACTGAATTCACTCTGACATTTTGTGGCAGACACATGGAAAACCTGTGCACAATGACATGTTGTAAATTTTGGATTCTTGTCTTACCTCAGACATTAGAAACTGCCAAAGGCCCTCTCTAGAGCCAGTGTTTGGTTTGTTTGTTCCGAGCTACTGTAGAAACATGGCAGTTCGGACGCCGTAGACAAGGACCCGCTACCTGTGTAGCTATCAACAGCTCATTTTAAGGTAACGAAAACAAACAATTCTTATTTTCAGGTGATTGTACACTAATGAAAACATTCCTTTGAATATTATATTCCATTTCTGCCAATAGATCATCCTAAATATTACACAATGGCCCTTTTTATATGAAAAAACAAAGCCAATTTCACAGAAGACATTTTGACACGAAACAAGTGTTTATATTAAAATAAATGAATGATTCCATATAGCTGCATCAGTTTCAGAGCCCTAGTGTTGTTCATGCTGGCTCAGAGTCAAACCTTCATGGCTCACTCGGATACTTGAACAGAACAGAGCCATCGTTAATGTTATAAGTAACTTTGCTTTTTAAAGTCAAAAAGTCTGCTGTGAATAAGCTTTTTATTTTTTATATTTACTGTGTGTTGTGTTGTTCTATACAGCTGCTAAAAGATGAATATAAAACAAAAAATGAGATCAGTGTTTCAGAACATATATCTCACATGAAGTAGTTGGTGATTTTAAGGTTCGGTAGAGAATCCAAGAAACGCTTCACTCCTTCATCTGCCAGGCGGTTACTTGATAAACTGCAGCCAAAAGAAAAGATGACTCAGCATCAAGTAAATCAGTGCTAGTATGTATAGTGTGATTAAAAGAACACACACAAGTAATTAGCACAACTAACAGTTCATGATAAGATAATCACCTACTTCCACTTTTTCTTCTGACAATTTCTCAACTTCTCTGAGTCATGATTAACTACTACTTATGTACGATAAAATAAATGTCTATGGTGACTGATGAAATAGTACACTTAGCAGTTGGTGTATTTTTCTGTTACACACTAAAATAAAAGCAGAGTGAGGATGTTCTCGCCTATTTAATGTTTAAGAAATTGTACATTTGCTGCGGTCTTCAGTTGTGGTAGAAAGCACACAGCACAGTTTTCTGATCATATTCAAACTGAACCACATACACTGGCAGTCAGACTCAACATCCACTCAGGTTTTTTTTAGACATACCAGTAGACAGTGCACTAAAAAAATGTCAAATGCTGATCACCGACCTGCAGCTGGCGTGTTCTATTTCTATATACAATATCACATAACAAAATAAAATAAACTATATACACTTAAAGAAACCTTTAGTCATTCTCACACACAAAACCATCCACACTGATTATCTCACACGTGTGTGTGTATGGCTTACTTGAGTCTCCGCAGTGACGTCATCTTCAGCAGGACCTTCAGCAGATTCTCAACAGCTGTGTCTGTCAGAGAGCTGTGAGACAAACTGACACAACATACAAGTAAATTACTGTCTACCTGTTTGGTCATAATCCTGAAATAAATCATGTTTGATGGATATAAAATAATGAAACTTACTCTAACTCCAAATGGGAGCGACATTGGACCAGTCTTCTACATAGTGTGGTCATATTATTTGGCAGGAGACTGCTGTTGTTTATCCTGCAGCACAAAAAAAGGATCATTTTGTATTCATTCAATAGATTACATATTATATATATTTGTATTGTATTTTAAAGAGAATTGTGTATGAGTGTTTCTCTTTATCTGCATACTGTACCTGAACATCTTTAGCTGTTGTTTGTCATCGCTAAAAAAAAAGAGCACAGCATTAGCTTATTAACTGACAAATGAAAAAGCAGACAGTGGTGTCCAGATGTGTTGAGCTTTTCTACCTTTTGTCAGGGCAGAACTTCAGGGTCAGCTGCTCTCTGCCTCCATCACTATAAAGCCAACAGGACACTATCAGATTAACAATGTGCACAACACTAGTTTATAGTTAACAACACCAATGTCCCCCAATTCACTAAGTGTTTATGACATATATACTGGTATTTTAACAGATAAAAACTGAGCTGTTACACAGCTTCTATCAGCTGTTCTATCTGGCTGCTTGCCACGTTGGAGAAACAGGTGCTCACTGTTTAGCTGCTCTAATAAAATGAATTATTAATGCCTAAAAAAAACAAAAAGCACCTGATGTGAATTTGTGTTAAGTTGTTATGGGAACACAAAGCACCAGCCAGCATCACCACTCCTTCCATGCTGATCTCGTTGTTCCTGGCACTAAAAAACACACACACAAAAAACAATGAGCCAGGGTGAGGGACATCATTTAGCTCTAAATAAGATATTTATACTGAATAATACCCCAGGGTAGTAACTGCCAGCACTGGCACGTTTTGCCTGGAACCGGTTTGGTGAGAAAACAAATGCCCAGTGTTTGCCAGCTAGATTAGACCAGCCCAGTCTACCACCATCTTTCATTTGAAACACTCAAAACACACAAAATCCTACCAGCAGAGTCATTCATTCTTAATAAATACACTCCCTATTTTGGGGGTTTGTTATCACCAGTAAAGTTTCAGATGTTTTAAAATTGTTTTGAGTGTATCATTATAAGTCATGTTGTTATCACTCTGTGGGCAAGTCTTACTTGATCTCCTGGATGATACTAAGCCGAGGCAGGACCTCCAACAGTTTCCTCAGACCTTTGTTGCCTAAACAGTTACTGGACAGACTGACGGACAAAAATGTGGGGTTCAAATAATGTCAGAGACAAAAACAAGAGTTCAACATAGGTAGAAATAATAAAATAAACTAGGTTTGTATAAAAAATAATAATACATAAAAATAACATTAAATTGCAATTTATGGCCACTGCAGAGACATGATGACTGCTAAAGAGGTACAGTTGCTAGGGTGATGCAGCATTTACCTCAAGACATTACCAATAAGAGTAACTATAAACTAGAGATGAATAAGTTTGTTTATCCTAAGCAATTCAGCTACTGGACTGAAATGGGTTGCTACTGCTGACCAACACATAACATGAGAGTATAGTATTTTTAGATTTTTTTACACAACAGTATGTACTTCACAGTCTATCTCAGTACAGAGTGTGTTAATGACGTGCTGTTACATGTTATAAAATGCTTGGATGTTTGTGTGTATCTTACTCCGGCCAAGTGAGATCAGGCGAGGCTCCCAAACTCCTCCACACTTTCTCCAGATCAGCAGACTGCAGACCACAGCAGCTGAGACTAAGAGAGGCAACAGCATCATAATTACCACCATAAGTGTAAATCCCCTCATGTAATGCTTTGCTGTGAAATATGGCTGAAGTCACGAGTGGAAGTGTGCTCGTGCTGACAAGCTCCCATAAGTTGATTGAAATAGCTGAAAAAAAAAAAAGAAAAAACTTTAAATAATAATAATAAGAAGAATCAGAGTCAAATCAGAAGTTCTTCATATTGGTTAACAGTTAGGAAGGGTTAAGGGTAACTTCTTATTGGCTACTCATTTGCTTTATCAAAATACATTAACATGTAATTGCCCGTTATTCATTTCATAACGATAACGATTAATGATTTTGAACACCGTGCTGAAAAATGTCCCCAAATTTTTATTTCGGAAATCTGGTCACCTTAATGTAGTTAGCTAACAAATCATTAAAATATATAACCAATTTAAAGCTGAATGACTTTAATATTAACACAGAATAAGTGCAATGCACCCTAAACACTCCACCCTGCTGTGTGCCGCTCCCCAACCAAACTGACAACTGGCTTAGAAATCACATTAGCACTTCTTCAGGTGCACAATACAATTAGACACATTAACCAAAAGCTTAGCTAGCGATTAGCGCTTAGCTAGCGATTAGCGTTAGCGCTCTTTTCAGTAAATACAATGATACAGTTTGCACCAAAGTGTGTTGAAAACATTAAACAAGGGTCTTATTACTCTGACTGTTTTTTATGAAAAGTATCTGAACTCCCACAGTATTTTCTCTCATCACTTTGGCTAGCAACATGCTAGCAAAGAAAGGGGCTTCAACTCACCGGAGTTTCAACACTAATAACTTGACAGAAGCGGTCGTTCTCGGGTTCACAGTTGCAACTCTGATGAAAGAGGAGCTTATCAGTATGGATACATGGGTATAATCAAAGTTTCAAGACTTTTACTTGGCGTTTCATACCAGCAATTGTTCACAGCACGTTTTCAGGATGTTTCAGGAAGAAGCAATCTCTGGCAACTGACGTGACAGCTGCAGGTAACATTCTCTACCAATCCTGATAGAACGTTATATGGTGCTCTAGTGGGCTGCGCACCCTTGTGGTATAATATTGCAACTACACCTCTTGATAACATGAGTTTTCAGTAGCCCTATATTTCATATGGGTTACACCCTCCCCCTTGACTCTGCATGAGTCCCTTCATGCTCATATCTGTGATTACTAAAGGGACTATCATAATCACCCATGGTTTCAAGTGCTTGATTAAAGCTCTGTAAGAGAATCTGTGGAGATCAAGGGTTTCCCCAACTGAAGGTAGTGAAAACGATCTGGTGGTCGCCGTGACCCCTCTGATTTTCGTGTGGGGTCATTTGTTTCTCCATCCTCAACACCTTCCCTTTCTTTTGCCCTTTCATGTGTCTCAGAGGTTTGTGTATGGGACAACTCATTTTCTCATCAGCATCATCTTTCATCATCAGCTTGTCCATGTCCAAGATCCTCTTGTCATCATTATTGTATTTGTCACGTCCGGTAAGGTTACATCCTCTCCGGTAGGGGGTTGCTCAACCACAACCTCTGGCTCCTCTCCTTCAACCATCTCAGGAGTTGTTTCAACAGGTTCTGCAGGCGACTCAGAAGGACTGCTTGCATCAAGCTCGACCTGTGGCTCGGAGGTCGAGGAGGTCATTGGCATGGCCGGTAAATTATTACCCTTCTCTACTGGAGTTACAATGGGTCGCTGCCTTCTTGGAATTTCACAGACTTCAACAAACCTTTCCTCTGGAATGACAGACAACGGGGTAGCACAGTAGGGTAAGTCGTCCTCAGACTCAGTGTATTCCTCAAGAGGTTGAGTTTGACTATGCCTGGTTCTTTGTCAGTGGATCTTTGGCTCGGACTGTTCAATTTCCTCTGTTTCACATAGATCACCACAAGGGAGTAAGAGATCCCTGTGTAAGGTGCGGGTGGGGCCATCTCCATCCATGGGCTGTACTGTGTACACAGGTGGATCTCCCATTTTATTCAGAACTTTGTACATTGTGGACCCCCACTTATCCGCAAGCTTGTGTTTGTTTCTCAGCCGCAGGTTCCTTCACAACACTTGATCACCTTCCTCTAGTGTTGATTCTCTTACTGGTTTGTCAAAGCAGTGTTTGTTCCTCTCAGCAACCTTTTGTGAATTCCTAGTGGCGATCTGATAACTCTCCTCTAGGCGCCTTCAAGTTTCTCACGTACTGGGAGTGAGATCTAGGAACACCATCTTTAACAGGCAAGCCAAAGGCAATGTCCACTGATAGCCTTAGTTGGCGCCCAAACAGCAACTTGTACGGACTGAATCCAGTGACCTCATTCTTGGTGCAGTTATAGGCATGGGTTAGGGGTTTTACATAGTCACAGCAGTGACTTTTCTCCTTTTCCTTTAGGGTTCCTAACATGCCTAGAAGGGTTCGGTTAAACCATTCAACAAGGTTTCCCCTTGGATGGTAGGGACTTGTGCGTAGTTTAGTACCAGCTAGGGCACAGAGTTCTTTATGAGTTGAGACTAAAAATCCCTGCCCTGATCACTAAGCAGACGCTCTGGAAATCTGTAGTGCACCAAATACTGCTCCCAAAGACATGTTGTAGCCTTCTGATCTTTTGTTGGTATGGCAACAGCATACTTTGTGAAATGATCTGTTATAACCAAGATGTCTTTGGTATTATGACTGTCAGGCTCCAAGGATAAGTAGTCCAGCATACGAGTTGCATGGGACGAGTGGTTTGGATATTCACAAGGGGTGCTGATTTTTCAGGTGGTGTCTTCCTCCTAATACAACGTCCACATGACTTGATCTTTTTCTCCACATCTGTAGCCATCTTGGGCCAATAAAATCTTGACCGGACCAGGCCGAGAGTTCTTTCCAGACCCATATTCCCCATATCCTCGTGGAGACATGTAAGAACGGAGGATCTTAGGGGCACAAATTGGTAAGTTATGTCATCTTCTGATCTGCGGGTTCTGTAGAGAAGACCATTTTTCAACTCAAACCGTTTCCATTCTTTGAGCATTAACTTTAGCTCCAAGGAGTCGGGATTGAGGATGGGTTTTCCTTCATCTCCAGCCTGCAACAAGATGACAACTTGTCCAATGACTGGGTCAGACCTCTGATGTTGTTGGAGTTCTGCCTCACTGTAGGCGGGTATAGTAGGACAACCCAGTGCTTCTTCATCTCCATAGACATCAGGTACCGCATCAGTGTGAAGAGCAAGGGATTCTAGGGGCGGCTGTGGCTCCGAGGCAGAGCGGGTCATTCTTTAATCCGAAGGTTGTGGGTTCGATTCCCGGCTCCTGTCACATGTCAAAGTATCCTTGAGCAAGATACTGAACCCCCAATTGAGGGGGTTGCTTTGAGTGGTCGGAAGACTAGAAAGGCGCTGTACAGGTCCATTTACCATTCTACCAATGTGATTGAAGGTAGATTGTTGTCGGCTTCACCTAAGAGATGGCGGTGGCACAAGACATTTACTGTGTCAGCTGGTATGTCTTGTTGATAAGGAGACGAAGACAAATGGTGGGAAGCAAACTGTTTGATTTGCTCTCTTTCTTCAAGAGAAACAGGGTCATTGGCCAGAGTGTCATGGGGCCGTCTGGAAAGGCCATCTGCGTCTTGGTTGCTTTTTCCAGCACGATACTTGATGTTAAAGTCAAAGGTGGAAAGAGCAGCTAACCAGCGATAGCTGGCAGCATCAAGCTTAGCTGACTTTAGTACATAGGTCAATGGGTTGTTGTCTGTTACAACCGTGAATGTGTTTCCATAGAGGTAATCTTGGAATTTTTCTGCAATGGAACACTTCAGAGCTAGAAATTCTAGCTTGTGTGCTGGATACCGCTTTTCACTGGTCTAAAGCCCTCTGCTGGCAGAGGCGATTACTCGCATTTCACCATCCTGTTCTTGGTACAGGGCAGCCCCTAAACCAGAGGTGTTTGAATCTGTGTGGAGAATGTACGGTAATTTTTGATTAGCAAATCCAAGTATTGGAGAGGAAGTGAGCTTTTCTATGATTGCCTCAAAAGCGTCCTGGCAAGAAGGTGTCCATCGGTCAGCAAAGGGTTCCTTGGGGTTGAAATATCCTCCAAGGCATAGTGTTCCTTTTTTACCCTTCTTGTAAGGTGGGTAACCTCCAGTAAGGTCATTCAAGGGTTTTACTATTTTGGAATAGTTCTTTACAAATCGGTGATAATACCCTGCAAAGCTTAGGAAGGACTTGAGCTCACTGAGGGGCTGGGGTCTTGGCCAGGTGCGGAGGGCACTGACCTTATCAGGGTCAGTCTCTACCCCTTTGCCGGAAACAATGTGGCCTAAGTAGCGCCCTGAACTTTGGAAGAAACGGCACTTTGTTGGAGAGTTTCAAGCCATACTCCCTCAATTGCTGGAGGATGTGTAGAAGCCTGGTTTCATGCTCCTCTAATGTGCTTGAAAACACAATGACATCATCCAAGAACACTAGTACCTTCAGATTAAGACTGCCCATACATCGCTCCATCAATCGTTGAAAGGTACTGGACGCATTGGTGATGCCTTGGGGCATGCGATTAAACTCCCAAAATAAAAAATAAAATCCCAACGGGCACACAAACAGTGTTAATTTCGTTGACGAAGACTATGACGAAAAATATTCGTCAACGAAACTTTTTCACGGACGAAAACTAAATAAAAACTAAATAAGAAGTCAGATATGATGACGCAGACTGTGACGAAATGTAACTGACACTTAAGTCAACGAATAAAAATGAGACAAAAATGTTAGGGAGGGACGAATGGAGAAGAGATCCAATCAGAACTACTCTTCTTGTGGGACAAGTTGGGAAGAAATCCAATTAGAGTGAATCTTTGAGGGTAGGTTGATCTATGCAGAAGCAACAGAGCCATTTTAAAAAGCTGCGGCAAATGCAGGCGCAACAGCTAAACGAATTTGCAGAACTTCGCACAGTTTCGAGGACGTTAGGTTGTTTACATTATATTTAGTTGTGTTTAGTTGCACAGTCTTAGTTACACAGCTTTGGCTATTTTCAGTTGACTTCGCTCGTTAGCAACACGCGAACGTTTTGCAGTGCACCGGGTCCGAGGGCAATGGCATGTCTCAGGAACAACAGAAATGTCAGAGTTAGGTCTAGGACGAAAACAAAGAATTGACATCTGGTCACACTTCACATATGACAAGGACAACAAGACCGTCTGTAAACCGTGTGGAGCAAAAATCGCTGGGAAAAACACCACCAACTTGAAGTGACATTTATAGACGACTCATCCACAAATACATGCAAAGCTTAGCATACACGCTAGGGTTATTTTATCAGATAAACTGTGATATAGTCGACTAAAATCTGCTAATATTTGGTCTACTAAAACTAGACTAAGACTAAAAGACTTAAGACTTAAGACTAGACTAAGACTAAAACTCTTGATATTTAGTCAACTAAAACTAGACTAAGACAAGATTTCAGATGTCTAAAATAGTACTAAAACTAAATGGTGCGTTATTCAAAAGACTAAGACTAAATCAGAATTTGCTGTCAAAATGAACACTGCACACAAAGGCAGTTTTAGACTTATCACCTTCCTCCATCTCAATCTGGTAGTAACCAGACTTGAGATCCATTACTGAAAACCACTTGGATCCAGCAAGGGCTGAAAAAGCCTCTTCAAGGTTAGGAAGTGCATATGCGTCTCGTATCGTCAATGTATTCAGCTTGCGGTAATCAATGCAAAGATCGACGTCTCCATTTTTTTTAACGAACCACCGCGATTGGTGAAGAGTAAGGGGACTCCGATTCTCAAATCACTCCTGCATCAAGAAGTGTTTGCAGATGTTTCCTCACGGCTTCATAATCATTTGGGTGTATTGGTCTGGACTTTTGTTTGAAGGGTGTTTTGTCTTTTAGATTTATGTGATGTTTCACTTTGGATGCAGTTCCTGGTCCTTGTACGTGTGTGCACTGATTACTACCCGGGTAGAGTTAATAGTGTGTACGCAGTCTTATCTGTTCCTGAATGTGCAAACTAGTCCGATGTCCTCTGTAGTTGGTCTTGTGGCAGGCCTCACCGTGTCCCCAACCTTCCACAGTCACTCTGGGCTGGGCTCGCCATCATTGGATCCTCCAGATTCTTTCTGGTAGCTTAAAAAAAAACAACCTGCACAAGTAGTGCAGACTATTAAGTTACTCTGTTCTGTTCTTATTTCTAACATAAGACCTCATTAACTTATTTTCTCAGTTAGTGCATCAATAACCAATGACTAGAACATACTTTGTTGACAATGGAATGAATTAGCAAATGTAATAGCAACTGGTATTTTATGCACCAACAAATCTTAATCATGAATTTTAATTGAATGTATTTATGTATTTATCATGTACAATTTAATAAACAAAACTAGCTCAAACACAATGTAGTTAGGTAACAAATCATTAAAATATATAACCAATTTAAAGCTGAATGACTTTAATATTAACACAGAATAAGTGCAATGCACCCTAAACACTCCACCCTGCTGTGTGCCGCTCCCCAACCAAACTGACAACTGGCTTAGAAATCACATTAGCACTTCTTCAGGTGCACAATACAATTAGACACATTAACCAAAAGCTTAGCTAGCGATTAGCGCTTAGCTAGCGATTAGCGTTAGCGCTCTTTTCAGTAAATACAATGATACAGTTTGCACCAAAGTGTGTTGAAAACATTAAACAAGGGTCTTATTACTCTGACTGTTTTTTATGAAAAGTATCTGAACTCCCACAGTATTTTCTCTCATCACTTTGGCTAGCAACATGCTAGCAGAGAAAGGGGCTTCAACTCACCGGAGTTTCAACACTAATAACTTGACAGAAGCGGTCGTTCTCGGTTCACAGTTGCAACTCTGATGAAAGAGGAGCTTATCAGTATGGATACATGGGTATAATCAAAGTTTCAAGACTTTTACTTGGCGTTTCATACCAGCAATTGTTCACAGCACGTTTTCAGGATGTTTCAGGAAGAAGCAATCTCTGGCAACTGACGTGACAGCTGCAGGTAACATTCTCTACCAATCCTGATAGAACGTTATATGGTGCTCTAGTGGGCTGCGCACCCTTGTGGTATAATATTGCAACTACACCTCTTGATAACATGAGTTTTCAGTAGCCCTATATTTCATATGGGTTACACCAGCATAACTGGCATATTAGTATTTAGTAGTATATTAGTAAAAATGTGCCATATGCAGAATTCATAACTTTATGTCACTCTTATCTTGTGTGCTTTGTGAATGGTAGTTTGGTATAAATCCAGTCTTACATGATCTTTTTGGTGACACTGAACTTTGGCAAGAACTGAGTCAGTGTCCTCAGAGCTTCCACATCCCATTGGCCTCCAGACAGACTAGGGTGGACACACACACACACACACACACACAGAACTTGAAATAATTTGTTTTGAATGAATGCACTCGCAGTAATACTATTACAAATGATTCAATCTGAATTACAGCCAGGGTATCCACTCTCACTAGCAGTGATAAATGATAGTGCTGAATATCTAATTATAACATGCATAAATGTCAGTTGTGGTCAACCTTGCTCCAGTGACAAAATGGGAAGTAGTAGGAAGTCACATAAAACATATCATATGCCAGTTACTTACTCTGTGAATGCTTGAACTTTGACCACACAGACAAATAAAACAAGAGGTCAATAACTAGCAGTTATTATTCTCAGCACTGCATTATTCTCTGTCAGTACGTTGTATCCAGTGGTGGAACAAGTATTTAGATCCTTTACTCAAGTAAAAGTATGCATGTTTGTAAATGTTAACAGCAAATTTTAAGGAAAGTATCAAAAGCGAAAGTACTCATTGTGTAGAAAAATGGTCCCTGACAGTGTTTCAATATTATATATGATGTTTTGACTTAACATTACTGCAGAGCCAGTCCACCCTAAACGCACACTACGCAAGCTGCGTAGGGCCCTGCAAATTACGCAAGGGCCCAGCCTCCCTCTTGTGTCAATGTTTACAACTTCAGTGAGTAGTGGTCAGTGGATAAACGGAACTGTCTATCAGAAAAAGACCCATGAGAGTGAATGAGATTCACGCGTGAACACGTGTTTGTATGTGCGTGCACGGAACGAAACTCACACTACCTAGCAGCAGTAAAGTCTCTGGGCACCGGTTCAGACAGCATATGGGCGTGATGGCAAGGTTTAGTTACAGCTCTGTAATGTAAGATGTAAAGCAATGGACTGACATTGACTATTGATTAAATATTGAAATGTTGATTAGCTGGGCATATACAGTGTGTGTATATATATCTATATATCTATATATATAGATATATAGTATTTTATATTTTTAAGTGTATAAAAGGAAATCGGGGGTTAGGCAGTTTGAATGGACCTGGTATTTTGTGCAGCGAGAGCCTGTAGGCTTATGTTCACATTGTATAGACAAAGTTAATGTTATAATATTGTGAGGACTGGACTAATTACCAGGCAGCAGAGCCCTTTCTATATTGTTATTGTTAATATTTACTTCAATAAAAAATATTCTATTCAATAAATATTGTTTAATTATATATATATAATAAACCAATATAAATATATAATATATATAATTCGGTTCTGTATAGATCTACTAATTCTTGGATTGAGAGATTGAGAGGGAGTAAACTGTTTTAAAAGGAGGGAGGATTGTAGTGGGAGCACTGGGTATCAGGTGCCACTGTGCGGCAATGGCAAATAGTTTACATGGCTTACGGGTCAGATAGGAGCTATTTTGGTCAGGGTCCTTGAGATTTTGGCATAATTCAAATCTCTGTTTATTATGATGAATGCGCTGCGATGAAATGTCTGCGGGGAGCTGACTCACAGCCGAGTGTTTCGAGAGATGAAGCAGGGAAGGAGACTGTAAATGTCGTGAGTGTAGAGAAGGAAAGTAGGGGGAAAAAAGTGAATAGGGATGAACAGGCTGGGGCTACTGCACCTGGGGAGGTGGAGCCTAGCGTAACAGAGCAGGTGGAGGCTGGTGTAGTAAGACAGGGGGAGGAAGGTACAGCAGGACAGGGGGTGGCAGGTACAGCAGGACAGGGGGAGGCAGGGGGAGGCAGGTACAGCAGGACAGGTGGAGGCAGGTATAGCAGGACAGGGGGAGGCAGGTACAGCAGGACAGGTGGAGGCAGGTATAGCAGGACAGGGGGAGGCAGGTACAGCAGGACAGGTGGAGGCAGGTACAGCAGGACAGGGGGAGGCAGGTACAGCAGGACAGGGGGAGGCAGATACAGCAGGACAGGTGGAGGCAGGTACAGCAGGACAGGGGGAGGCAGGTACAGCAGGACAGGTGGAGGCTGTTGATATGGAGCAGGAGCTGCAGTCTGGTGCTGGGCAGCAGACAGAGCTGGTACAGGCAGTTACAGATAACAGTCAGGTGACGGAAATGGACTCAGATGGTGAGGTTGACTCTGACAGTGTGTCTGTAGCAGACAGTGTCTCTCAGAATGCATACTTGTATTCTCTTAAAGAGGTACACAATTTCCTAGATGATTCTTTTGGCAGGTCAGTGGAAATAAGTGAATATTTCCCTGATATTAAAAAGCTTATTCAGACGGTGAGCACTCTTCAGAAGGTTGTAGGGGTAGGGACAGACCTGCTGGATGAGAAGAGACGTTACCATCTGAGAAAACATGTCACCGTTCTGAAAAAAGGTCTTAAAGGGACCAAAAGAACAAAGAAAATGAGATATTCCAGATAAAATAACATGATCATACAACACTGGGTGTTTCTTCTCTGCTGTGTCTATTTGTCTGTTTTGTTTCCTTTTTTCTCCTCTTCTAATATGCAGGCCTTAAAGGTTGCCTCTTTAAATATTAATGGGGGGAGAAGTGCACAGAAAAGAGCCTTAGTGTCAGAGGTTATTAAACAGAAAAAGTTAGATGTTATATTTTTACAGGAAATGCACAGTGATAGCCTGAATGAGACAGACTGGGGAATATGGTGGGGGGGTCAGTATGCACTCACCCATGGCTCTAATCTCAGTGCTGGAGTTGCTGTTTTATTGTCTCCCTCACTAAAGGTGAATATTTTATCTAGAACAGAGATCGTAGAAAGCAGAGTTCTGATGGTGAAGGCAGAAATAGAAAGTTTTACCTTTACTTTTATTTATGGTCAGGGGGAGTGTTTTATAATAGGGGGGGATTGGAACTGTTGCACTGATGTCATTTTAGACAGGACAGGACAGGAGCTCCATCCTCAGTCGTCTTCTTTTCTGTCTCAGCTACTAAAGGAGGCCAGTTTAGTGGATGTGTGGAGGATGAAACATCCTTCAGCTAAACAGTTCACTTGGGTGAAAATATCAGATGGTAGGGTTAGTGCAGCCAGGTTAGACAGACTTTACGTGTCTGCTTCTTTTATAACTCGCGCAGCTAACTGTCAAATCCTCCCTGTTGGTTTTACAGACCATCATTTGATTTTAGTAGATTTTAGTAGATTTGGTTTTATCTCCTACTAAGAAACCTAGGTCCAATTTCACGTTAAACTTTTACATGACTTTAATTTCTGTGAAAACTTTCAACTGTTTTGGGCTAATTGGAGATCCAAGAAAGAGTTTTTGCCCTCCTTGAGTCAGTGGTGGGAGGTTGGAAAGGGTCAAATTAGGTTGTTCTGTCAACAGTACACATCCTACTCTACTACACATATTAGAGGAGCTATGGAGCAGTTAGAGTCAGAAATCAGAGAGCGAGAGAGTATGTCTGCTGAAAACACTGAACAGTTACACCTCAAAAGGCAGCAGCTGAACTCGTTTCTTCAAGAGAAAGCTAAAGAAGCTCTGGTCCGAGCCTGCTTCACCACTATAAGAGACATAGATGCACCAACCTCCTCCTTCTTCAGCCTGGAGAAGTCTGTGGCCCAAAGGAAGCAGATGGTGTGTCTCTGCCTGCCTGATGTGAATTTGACCTCTGACCCCACTGAGATGAGGAGACATGCAGTGTCTTTCTACTCAGACCTGTTCAAGGCAGAAGATTGTGATGTGGATGCTACTAATGAACTTCTTCAAGGTCTTCCACAGCTGAGTCCAGGAGAACATGACACCCTGAGCTCTGACATCTCTTTAGAGGAGCTGACCTCTGCAGTGACACAAATGGCCTCAGGAAAGGCTCCAGGCATGGACGGCCTACCTGCAGACTTTTTTGGAGTTTTCTTGGACATGACCTGCTGGACGTTTTTAAGGAGTCTTTTGAGAGAGGAACTCTTCCAGCATCCTGTAGGCGTGCTGTGATCTCCCTGTTACCCAAGAACCTGACCCTGTTAAAGAACTGGAGACCTGTAGCTCTATTATGTACACTATAACTATAAGTAAGTAACTATAAGATTTTGTCGAAGGTTTCAGCTAACAGACTGAAGGTTTATATTGGATTATTTATTGGTACTGATCAGTCGTATTGTGTCCCTGATAGATCAATACAGGACAATTTGTTTTTAATGAGAGACATTTTTGAAGTTTGCAAACTTTACAACATTAATGTGGGTATCATTTCTATTTACCAGGAGAAGGCGTTCGATCGTGTCGATCACTCTTTTCTTTTTGCCGCACTGCAGGCTTTTAGTGTTGGGGAGCACTTTTTGTCCTGGGTGAAGTTGTTGTATAGTGGTGTATGTTGTGTTGTAAAGGTTGGGGGAGGGTTGAGTAGACCTGTATCAGTAAAAAGAGGGATCAGGCAGGGCTGCCCTGTCTCAGGCCAATTGTACAGTGTGGCCATAGAGCCGCTTTTGTGTAGGCTTAGGAGCCGACTGAGAGGCCTGGTTTTGCCTGAACTGGCTCACAGCCCCCTGTGGTCATATCAGCATATGCTGATGATGTAAATGTCTTGTTTTATATGAGAAAGCTGCTTCAGCCAGGGTTAACTTGGAGAAGA